CATGAACTTGCAAGGTCTATATAATATATCTTTAGATGTATCTAAAATATATTTAAAATTTTATAAATCAATTAATTTCACATCTTGGTTTTTATTTTAGCGCACTGTTACTCCATGCGTTCCATCTACCGCCTGGAATCGAATCGATGATTTGAGCGTATAAGTCCATAAATATACCGCGGAAACACGTTAAAAGATGGGTACCACCTGTCATTACACGTTCCACATTTGTAGTTACATGTTGAACGTTACGTTGTCATATTACATCTCATTTTCAAAAACAACCATAATCGTGAATATAATGTTAGTGTTACAGGATTGTTTAAAACCGACAGTTATGGAGTACACGAAAAATTGGTATTTAATTTTCAACGCACAATAAAAATTATAACTATTATACGCATTTTCAAAGATATCAATGAAAAAGACAACACATCTCCACTATAGGGTTAGCACCCATGTCTGTTGTGAAGTTAACGCCAGTGCTCCCATATACTGATGCGAAACGATTTTAACAAATTCTACTGTAGAGTAACTCAGATGGAAGTATTAATAAGAGCGTTTCTTATTTTTTAGAATTCGAAATCTAGCTATTACTTAGTCTAAAAAAATATGCGCAGTTGGATCAAACAAAGAATAATAAATTGAAAATTCGCGGTTCTAAATGGATAAGAAACAAATGCGTTAAACAAACACGCATACAAGCACTTACCGATACAAATATGCAGCTTATATTATGAATAGATTAACTATATCCCTTCAATATTCTTTCGTGTTTCATAAAATAATTTACAACCCACTCAATTTTTCTCATATTAATTTTTATTCCAATACCAATATCTGATAACTAAGCATTGCAATGACAACACAGTACACATCTTAACTACCGAGGACTGGGAAATGAAACGTGTGGTGATCAATGATTGTTGCTAATATTTATACTACCACAAGTAACTGCAAACTAAAATTATCTTGCTGTTTAGTTTTACATGAACACAAACATTTACATACATAAAACTGGTGAAACTTATCTGATGAATAGGGTAAAAAAACTGTTTACCCTAAAAAAAAAAGTGTATTGAAAGTTTATCAATTAGCTATTTGTTTCTTTTATACTGTTCGTTACATCATCACATTCCTTGCTAATATAAACGAATACGTTGGGAATCATTCCAACTCATTTTCAACATTAATCACTAGTCAGTACTAAGTTTTTAAATTCGAACCGGAAAATATGTATGACGTTATTATTATTATTTTCAATTATTTCTACCGCAACTGCATACCTCTTTCCATGTATTATCAAGTCATCTCATTTTAATCAAAGTGTAACAGTTGCGAAGTTGAGTTTGCGATCTTATTATACTTCGAATCAGTATTTTTAGTATCCATTATTTTTAAAAGTCCAATTGTCTCTGAAGAAAACTATATTTTAATATTTCGAGGATATTTTATACTTGTGTATCACTGGGGAGTTTGATCATATAGCATATTATGAGAAGTAACAATTCTTATTTTATTTAAAAATTTATTGAAGTGAATCTTCTTCTAAGAATTTACCTGTCTGGGAAAAAATCTAAAGATATACATAAAGAAACAACATTCAGTATATCTCCACAGGTAAGTAAGAATAAGCACTGTAAACGGAACACACTGTAATTCTTTAAAACTTACAAATGTTTTTGAAAAAACATTACATAGAAAATGCATATAGAAAATCATCATACACTTTCTATTATTCAACATCATTTATTATTGTATCTACTGTTGAAAAATGATTTTTAGGCCTTTTATTCTGATGTCAAGAATAATAAGTAATTTCATGAAGAAGAACGAGAACTTCGTGATGATGAGCTGGATCCACTTGAACCAGAGGAGCTCCGACTTCTTCCCCTTCTTTGACGTTTTCTCTTGTCACTCTTTCTGCTACTACTACTGCTACTGCTTGAACTGGAACTGCTTGAACTGCTGCTTTGCCTTGTCCTTTTTGCTCCCCTACTTTGATCAATTCTGGTTGATTTCTGCCTGCGTGAATCCTTTTCTTTTCTCAGTGGACTTCGGCTCTGTCGGGATGAAAAAGTTCTTCTTTCAATTGGTGAGGTTCTCCTAGGCCTACTGTACTTGTCAGCACTTCTGCTACATGACCTTTGGCGAGATCTCCCAATGAACCTTGTATTTTGTCGGGAACGGCTTCTGCTTCTGCTAAGAGAGCGAGAACGCCTCCTATATCTTGATGATTCTTGAGCCCTCTGACCACGATCTCTAGAGGTTGGTGTTTGGCGCTTAGGAGAACGAGATCTAGATCTTTTCCTATTAATTCTTTCCTTAACAGATCCTCTTCTGGGACTTTTGTCATCATTTCTAGTTTTTTTGGTACGTGGACTTCTTGATTTGCTTCTTGATACTCTTTTTGGTGCACTGGTGGTTTCAGTTCTACTACTTCTTACAGGACTTTTACTTGCAGATATCTGAGAACTCTTCAGTTGATGTTTTTCTTTTTTTCCATCACTTTTCTTTTTTGGAGGCTCTGGACTCTCTGATCGTTTAGTGGCTTTGGTTTCTGATACTCTCTGGTTACGTCTATGTGTTACAGATTGTGATCTTGGACTTTCATCTTTAGTTTTCTTATTCTGTTCTTTTTGTTTAGAATCATCAGATCCAAACCTATTAACAACATTCTTCTGAGCAACTTTTTCGTCATCTGAAACATCTTGTGATTTGACTTTCTTTTTGTTTCGTGATTTGGAAACTTCTTTTTCCTTACTCTCTCCTTCATTTTTAAGACTCTGACTTTTGGATTCAAATTTTTTAGTGCTATCAACTGAAGATACTTTCTGCTTTTTTTCCTTGAGATTACTTCTGTACTTGAATTTCTCATCATCACTGGAGGAATTTGACCTAGAGCTACTTGAAGAACTCCGTTTACCTTTTTTCCTTTTTTCTTATCCTTATCAAGACCTTTGTTGCTTCTAGAGCTATCAGAACTGCTACTACTACTAGAGCTGCTGCTACTACTTCTGGAACTGCTACTAACTGATCTTTTTCTTCTTGTTTTCTTTTCATGCTGGAATTTTTTCTTTCCCTAAATAAGGTTTTCTTATTTCTGGAAAAACGTATAGGAGAAAGGAAAACATGTACAATAAATTCTATCCACATGAGTTCAATAATAAACAAATACACAGTTAAAGCTTAAATATAAAAGAGAGAGAAGCTGAAAATAAGAAAAATCGAACACCCAAATAACATTAACCTGATGTGTCATTAGTTTCTCAGGAGTAGCGGTCTATATTTTACATCCAAAAGTAATTTTGGTATATGTGTATGTATACTGTAAATTACAATCTTTGTTTATAACGTGCATCATAAAAGTAAAACTCGGTTGTAATATCAGTCATTTGTCAACATTAGCTTGTATTGTTAATCGTTAGATAAATTACAGCTTGTTATTTTGATCAATATATAAACATTGCAGAATATACATGGATTTTTTATAGCTAATATTAGGCCAATAATCTAACCTCAGCTTGTTTAACAGGCAAACTTTGGCTCCTGATGTTAAACAATGGCTTAAAGTAAAAATCACCGTCTTTTTTTATATATATACACAGTACACGTTAGTATATAACTTCGTGTATATACAGAATAGATCAGGCATGTGCAACGTGCGCCCGCAAGCCGCCCACGAACTCTTTTTTTTTTCTGTACTCAACCAGGGAAAAAATGAAATTACACACAAAAAGCAGACAATGTCTCATAAGTATAAATTTTTTTTGGCTTTCTAAGTACGCGACAAGAGCCGTTACAAATTCATCCAACCTAGAAGTACCAAGCTTGTACTAAAAAAGAAATTGACAATTCTCTGTACAGAAAACAATGTAATGTAATACGTCATTTGATAGATGAAAATCTTGGATTTCTATTGGTTATAAAAATATAGTATTAAACGTAAGAGAGAACTATTAACAAATCCTGAAAGAGAGAAGGTGTGACAAGAGGATTCTAATTTTATATTTGATGGCTCTGTAACCAAACAAGATTGAAGGCTAGGAAAATTATTCTTATAGTGAGTAATTTACGTTAAATTCCGTACTTATTGGAGGGGTGGTGAATAAATTAGAGAAGAGAAACAAAAGTCATTTCTTGCACTAGGGGAAATTCAAGATTTTTTAATAATGCCTTATAAATTTAAGAACTTAAAACTTATATAATATTAAAATATGGATTATTATCTACGATTTTCTGCTATACTAATTGGTATAACAAACAAAAAGTAGTTTAATTAAATTCTGAATGTAACTCACTAAATGATTAAAACATTTAATTTTTCATAATTTCTATTATCTGAATAACACTCATTCACTGTATATTCTACTGCTACTCTATTTGTACCCCTTCTAAGGTAACAACAAGAAATTTTGCTAAGGAAATTGAAGTATTTTTAAATTTTAGTTTTGTTTCATAAGGTGTGGCCCACAATTACACTTAATAATTGCTGTCTGGCCCACACCATGGAAGAAGTTGTACATGCCTGGAGTAGATCAATAAAATAATTTTGGCATGTAGCTTAAAATGAAAGCAGAAGGAAGTATATACTACTGGGTCATCCATAAGTAAGGTACTGGATATTAATAATGTTAGGTAGATAAAGGGCTGGAGGAAACTATTAAACTGGTAGAACCACGTTGCATCAAACATGTGCCCACACTATCCAGTGCTCCCTGGAAACTGTAAAAAAACAGATGACTTGTCTTTCCAACCCATTGCATTTGGCAATTATGATTTGTGACACACACACAAGTTACTTGAACTAAAACATTCCATCCCAGAAACCTTCCCACATCATAATTTTCTCAACATAAAATTCAGAAATAACAATAATAATAGCAGTACATGTACCAGTTTCATAGAGATAAAATTACTTAATTCAAACAATCTTACTGTGCATTTAGAGTGATTTATTACGTGTAATGAATGTACCAAGAGAAAAATTTTTGAAGTTAGAAAACAAAAACTTCATTCATTCACATTTTGACCAATTTCAGTGGACACACACACATTAATGTAATCACTGTCATTAATTTCTGTAAATCCAGCGTTCACTAATGTACACAGTAAATACTGAAAAAAATGTGTTTCAAAACTTAAGACTCAGTGAGTGACATTAGTTGTGGTGATGTTTGAGGGTTAATGTCTCCTTCCCTACATTCAGCCATAATGAATTATAGAAATTGTATGTATAAAACAAAATGGGTCACATGACTGTCTCATTAGATTACTGTGTAATAACTCTCAATTGAAACATTCCAAGAGGCTAACAAAAAGATTGACAGCTATGAGAAGATTAGGCTCGTCAGTCGTAGATTCATGGATATGGAGTAAGATAACATTATTCAATCTGATTTGATTCATCGTGGGTATCAACAATGTTTTAAGCTGCCTAACAGCTGAAAACAATCTCTCACTAGTTGGAAAATTCTGAAATACTCTGAAAGTAAGACCATCAGATGAAACTGTCATTCTACCTCTACTGTGGTTTAGGTCAATATTGGGTATGGTCTGTACCAGCTTTTCTCATAAAACTGGGAGACTGAACCAATTCCTAAAAAAAAGGGACAATTTTATGAGCAGAAGTTGTAAGAATATAAGAGTAGCTAAATTTGGTATATTGTCTGAATGAAAATGCACAAATAGGATTTATCTTTATGTATCTCACTATACATTTCAAAGACTGCTACAAGATACAGTAGAACAAATAATAATATGATAAATGAAATGATTGTGACACTTAAAACCTCCTTAATAAAATATATTTAAATGGTCAAAAAAGTACTGGTCTGACCATAGTCAGACTTGTAAGGTCAGCAACACCAGTTATGGAATCAATACATAAACTTGGCATGAAGAGTAAATTGAAAGATTTTTTGTAGATCAATATACAACAATTCTGTAAAACACGAATGACAGATACTCGTATTTTATAGCTTCGAGGGTGGTCTTACTGAGTAGTCAGATTAAATGGATACTAATGATTAAATGCAGGTTACTGCTCAACATTGTAGGTTAACAAGTAATAATTGTGTGGTTAGTACAGATGGGAGAGAATTGCAGTCTGTACATTAAGCCAATGTGTACTTTTGTCCACCAATACAAACTTGTATGTGAAGTTAAGTCTAAAAGTTATGCTAAAATACAACAAAAAACTAAATGATGCTTATGTAAATTTTACAGAACTCCTGTAAATGCATCCACAAGACTTCAAAATAGTTCCACATAAGGATATCTATGGTAAACACATTTACTAAAAATTATAACTAATCTGAAATCAATAATACATGTAAGCTGCATGACATTAACAGTCCAGTACACTGGCCACAACAAGGGTCATGTCAAACCGAGGAAAAACATCAGTGAACAAAAGAACTTAAATATAAAATTATAACATTACATTTTGCAATGGAGTTTTAAAAGGGGATCATTGATATACCTGATTACCCCCATTGGTAAAGCCCATGATTATACTTTGTCATAAAAATTATAAAAAAATAATAACCTAACATGTTGATCACTGTCTTCAGGCTTGAATTCCAATTTCTCCTCTTGTATGTTTTCCTATGAAAATGAAAAATCAGTTTTTCATGGTTAAGACAACAGTTAAAAAATAAGCACTTTTCTAAATTCACTTGTTTACATACAGAAGTCAACAAAATATTTTACTGAATTGGAAAAAAAAAAAAAATCAGAATGGCAAATGTGTGTAATGTGGTTTTGAATTTTCAGTTTCTGTAGAAACGATTATATGAAAATAATCTTATATCTATTGCAAACCGTGTACATTTACTTTAACAAACAAAAAATTACGTTTTATTTATTGTTATTTAAAAATTCTTAAGAGATGCAATTTTTACATCACCCTTTACTTTTCATCAGTTTTTGATTATTTGTGCCTCATGTTTGAATTGTGTTAGGTTTGGCTATAAAATTGTTTGCCCAAAACTCTGTGGCTAGGATGAGCACTGAATATATACCAACAAGTAATATGATGTATAAGCAGTTTACAAAAAATGTATTTAAAAAATTTGTGGTCTGTGTGGATCCCATTGATGATTATGAAGTTAAAAACATTACTATGAATAGGTCTTTTAAGACCTATGCTAATCTGCTTATGATACTTTGAATCATTAGGAGTAATGTGGGAAGTTAGTAGAATTATTTAATTACTTGGTCAGTTCTTTATAACGAGTGCTATAACACGAAAAAATTAAAATTACTAAGTATTGTGCAATATGTAGACTCCACCAACAGTGAACAGCATAAAAATAAATTGATAATTTGAGGGTTAAACATAATCTATTTCCAGTAATTTCATTCTAATGTAAACAAATTGTTAAACACGAGTTTCAGTGAAGTCATCCATGGTTTGTTGTCAATAAATTGCTACAGCAGAGGTTTTAAAGTGTCCATACACTCGATCTCATTTAACATATTTAAGCACAAAACAGTATCTATTGTATGGATGTAATAAGAGGATGATATTGTTCATACAATCTTATATTTGTTACCAGTCTAGTGGTAACTTAAGGAACTAAACAGCAATTAATTTTTGAAAAATATAGTCTAAACAGACAGTACAATAAAAAAGTCATCATAAGAACAATAAAAGGTACTCACAATATAATTTATTGGTAAAAGAATAAAATCTATGTTTTTGTTATCGTTTTATTGACAAGCCTCTTTATAGTTTTTATTATTTAAATTCAAAGGAAAAGTACTGGTATTTGTTATTTTACAAAACTTTAATTGTGAATAATACTTATGAAATGTAATCCAAATTCAATCTATGTAGTAATTTTCATGTTAATTTTATTTTTGAGATACTCACAAATATTTAACAAAAACTTTTTGAAAAGTGGGACCAATATTTTTTTTGGGGGGAGGGGGGAAACAATTTATTTGAAAATTGATAGTAATGCATGAAGAGATACTCAAAACAATAAATTCATTTTTTTATTTCAAAATTTAAGTTGTCATATGAGAGCTAAAATGGTATTAGGGCTCTAAGAACAGGAACCATAGATTTACATGAAACTAAAATCGTCATATAAGGGACTGTTCATAATAAACATCCCCATTTAGACTAGTATCACTTTGTGAACTTTTTACTTTTCTCATCAAACTTCAGGAACTATTAACTTGTAATGCCAACCATCACCTTTGTTACAACAGCTGAAACTTGTTTTTATGTGGATATTTTTTATATTTCATCCTCCTATCTTCAATGTCCAATATCTACTGTTGGAAACTACTGGGGGTATTTGAAACTTAAAAATTATAGTCCTTATGAAAATTAACTCTTAAATGTGAAACATTAAACTGATGTGAAATGAATTTTTAAGACTAGCAACTAACAATCCATTATTACGTTTAACAATAAAACAAGCGATTTCTAGCAGCATTCAGATAAATTTATTAATTTTTTGTGTGAAAGGTAGGGCTTTGGCTCAATAATAATAACATATAATAGACTCTGATATTTAACAAACAGTACAGTTAAGTTTCTTAATTTTAATAACTTAGAGATGGGAGTTTTAGATGAGCAGAAAAGATTTCCCCTGTAGTTAACAAAACTTATAAATTTCAAAATAACGGCACTTTATATTTAACAGGAATGGTGTATTTGAGGCTTAGATGACATAAATAAGTCCTGATTAAATTACTAATGTAGAACGATACCTTGTAGTACTAAAAAGACATTCTCTCTCCATTAGTATGATGTTAACCAAAATACAGAAGAGTACAGATAAATTAAGTTTGTGGAACAACATAATTTTTCATTTATATTTTGCAGCTTTATAAGCAGCTATTTCTTTCAGCAATACTACCAGAAATTCTTAGTTATCACACAGCTTCCTTTATTTCATTAAGTACATTAAAAATCATTTTCCTAAGATCATATAACCTACTTTAAGACAATTAAACTTCCTCTTATAATCATTGATGAAAACACATTGAAAAAAGTAAACAGAAGTATGACTTTTCTTCTTCTTTAGTCAATGTTTTATTAAAACAGTTAAAACTAAGCATACATACCCTCAAAACCACATCTATAACACATTTTGGGCATAACATGGTTGACTAAACTATAAACTAACTCGTATAAACTAACATGAAATCTATAAATAACTGTTCAATATATATATATATATATGAAATAATAACCATACCTTCTCGGGAATTTCCTTATGGCTTTCTGCAACCAACACATTTTCAGAGCTCTGATAAACTGAAGAGTCACCTTCTTCAGGAAGAGGTATATGAAAAGCTGGAGGAGGTATATTTTCAAGGTGACTCCCAGTATCCTTTGTTTCTGGTTCAGCAGGTGATATATGTAAAGTTAGAGTGTCATCTTCTACTGCTTTACTTTTATTCTGCTTACTAGAATGTTCACTCTTGCTTTCTTTGGGTGTGGGAGTACCAGTTATGACTGTCACATCTTTTTCCTCAGTCTTTTCTACAGCAGGGATTTCATTTAAATTAGACATTAGATTTTTGTCAGCCGGCAATATTTTCAAATCTTGTTCTTCCTGTACTGAAACATTTTCTACTTCAGATGATGCATTCGTTTCATTTAACTCTACTGCAGAAGGATCTAAAAATTCTCTTTTTGAGAAATCTTCCACATTTTCTTTAAGCTTCATCTGGTCTGTAACTAGTTTTTTAGAGACAGTTTCTTTTGGAATATGTTTTTCCTGCATATCAACTGATAATGCCTGGTAACTGATATCTTTTGGTGGTTCTGGAAATGTATATTCTTTTGGTGGTTTTTGAGGTTCCATATCTGGCAGTGGTATGTCACTAGGAAGAAAAACACTCTCTAAGGTATGGTGTTCTTCTTGTTCAACAGTCTGTTTGTTGGCTTCTTTTGATATATAGTTTTCTTCCTTATCACATTTTTCCTTTGAAAAGTCATCTTGGTGTTGATCTTCCCTTGTAGATTTAACCATAGAATAATCATTAGCACTGTCTTTATGTTCTGGAAGGTTCTCTATCTCAAAACTAGTAACAGCTTCTGTTTCCACTGAAGAATTCTTGACATTACTGTCAGGAACTTTTGATATATCAGCATAATTTTTTTTATGGTTATATTCTGTAGCTTCCTGAAGTTCTGGAGAGAGGACTCCTCCTTCATTTTCATTACCTTTCTCCTGAAGTGAGGGTTTCTCTGTATCAGATTGATCATCATGAAGCTTTGGGCTTTCTATTTTTGAGTCAGGTTCAGTGTTTTCGATCAAAATGTTTTTCTCAACATCATATGACAATTCATCCTTGCTCTTATTGTGTACTGGTGTTTTCTCTTTTTGTGTTATTTCTGGTGTTTTGTGGTCACTCTCATCAATATCTCCATGATCTTTAGTATCAGTTTCTTTATTATGATTATCTTTTTCTACATCAACTAAAAGATGTGTTGATTTTTCATTTATTTCTTTAGAAGAAACATTTTGTTTCTTTTCTCTTTCATTTTCAATAGGATAATTCTTTTCCTGGAGGTGATCATCTCTTTCTCTTTTTTCACGATGATGAGACTCTCGACTGCTAACTTTCTTTTCCTGGCGATAAACTTCCCTATGACTATTTCTTTTATTCTGCTGATGAGTTTCTTGACTAATCTCTCTCTTGTCTTGGTGGCGAGCTTCCCTAATATTATCAGTCTTCTCTTGGTAGAGGTGATCCTTACTAAATCCTCTTTTATCCTCATAGTAAGTCTCTTTATTTTTATTTTTATAGTGGGTCTCCTTGCTGCTCTCTCTCTTATCTTGGTGATGAGTTTCCTTACTACTGTCTCTTTTGTCATGGTGATGGGATTCCTTGTTACTATCTTTTTTTTCTTGGTGCCTGGCCTCTCTGTTGCTTTCTCGTTTCTCTCGGTGGTGACTTTCTTTAACATTAAGATCTTTTTCTAAACTCTTACGTTTACCGGTTTTATCGCTATCATCCCTATATTTCTCTTTATTTTTTTTGGTATCATTAAACTCTCTGTCTTCTCCACTTCTTTCCGACCTGTCTCTTGTTTTTTTCTCTCTTTTTAAAAGATCACTCTTTTCTTGCCTACTTCTTTTTTCATCACGCTGAGACTTCTCCTCGGATTTCCGATACCTATCCTTAGAAGGATCTCTGTTTCTTTCTCTTGATCTACTTCGTTGTCTTTCTTTGATTCTTTCTCCATCTTTTTTGTCCTTTGGAATTTTGTCTAGTGTGCTACGTCCTTCTGTGGATTCTGTTCTTGCAATTTTATCAGCTTTTTCATGGCTTTAGGCAGGAAGGAAGAAACAAAACAAACAACTTTTATATATATATTGATGGTTTCTACATAAATATTAAAAGGAATACAGTCATATTAGTGCAGCCAAATAATGGTCTGACACAAAAGAAATTTTGTACATAAATGATTTCAACAGCTTTAAGTTGAGAAAAATAACCTTTACAACATATAAAAAATCCTATTCTACACCTGCATGCTACAAATGTAATTATGAAGTGAAAAGGTGACAAAAATAGACGAATTCATAGATTTCTGGAATCTTTGAAAATTACACGGAACTAACAATTCTAGAATTTTATTGTTGTTTGGCTTTGAATAATGTGTTTAACCCTATCGCTATGGGTCAAAGGGCATTTCATCATGTTTGTAGATTTCCATTACAAATTTTATTAAACTACTATTTTATTAATGTATATCGATTAGTTAATTTTCTAATTTAAAAGTACATAGTGTCACATGGTATAATTAATGCAACTTTGGTTCAAATTAAATGTTTGTGATGTCCAAATACAAAGTCTTGAAGGTGAGAAGTTCCCAAGATTATTTATATTGTCTTGAATCTCGAAAGGATGGGATAAGTGAAAATATTGTTTGAAAAACATTAGTTTTGTAGACTTAAATACAATTTAGTTAGTAAGCATGATAACTTACAGTGGAATTCTGTGATAGAGATCACTGTTTTCTATTTCTTTATTTACTGTTCTATATTTTAAGAAAAATAACTGAAACTTAAGAACTTATTTGTAAATAGTAATAATAATAATAATAATATATATACACTTACATAATGCATTATAACCAAAATATGACTGTATTTTACAAAATACTGGTCCACTAGAACAAAATCAAGACAGGTCACTTTGTAAAGGCCAGTTTTATAGTATTGCAAACAGTAACATGAGTACACATGCATTGCATCATTGCAATTTCTGTAATGTTTGTCAGACATGGTTGAAAGGTCAATAAAATAAAAATAATAAATAAATAAATATATATGTATAATGTTATGAGATTTAAGCTATTTAGAATAAACATTTATGTTTTTGTGTTATTTGTTGTCATTCTAGAACAGAGGCATAATTTATATTTTTTTCCTAATTTTTTATGGTGGTTACAAGACTGATCAAATCTACCGAACCCATACAGAGATTCATTAGTGAAAATAACAGATAAGATATAAAGTTTTTACTTAAGAAATGTTTGATAACTATCTGGACTATAAAGATTTTGCATGAGAAATTTGAAAATTGTCTGATTCATAAAAGTATTTTTAATCATAAAATGAAAATTACCTTGCATGTTGGATAGGCAGCATGTGAAAAGAAAAAAAAGGCACAAGAAGAACACTGCTTAACAAACCTTAAGACTTAATAAAAAAAAATTATATTTTGCACATGAAAGCATTGTAATGTTTACCGATAATCTATGCATACTGTATTAAAAGTTACAGTACAAAAACTACAACAAGCACAAAATGCTTTCAGCCGTGCCTGGCTAACAATGCAGAAGTTACAATGATAAGACACATATGCTCTCATGTTCCCATATCAAATATTATAAAACTGACCTTTAGTCTTTACAAAGTGACCTGTCTTGGATGTGTTTTAGTAGACTAGTATTTTATAAAATACAGTCATATTTCAATCATTATACATTATATATATATATATATATATATAGTACTATTTAGAAACAAGTTCTTAAACTTACTTTTTCAACACAGAGAACAGTAAATAAAGAAGTAAAGCAAGCAATTATCTCTTCTAGTTTGTACTCAGTTGCTAAGCCTTTTAAAATTTTGCATTTG